TTCTTTCATCTATTTAATTGTATATGTATTGGGATTACAAAAAAATCCTAATTGACCACACTTCCCAAATTAATCTTTTTATGTTTTTATTTCAGTTTCTAATTTTGTTTTAGGTTCTATCTGTTACTTTTGACTTGACGGGTAGTATTTAACAATCCCAAGTTGCAAAAAACTTTGGATTTCATTTACCTGTAGTTCATTTTAAAGGTAAACTAGGTTAAACAGCTTAAGGCCACCGAAATAGTGATTATCACACTACTATATCCTTTGACTTTCTTTGCAACATTTCTCTCCCCCAAATCAGTGTTCTGACTCAGCAGGGGCCAGAGTAAGAAATATGTGGAAAACATATTTTTTGGAAAAACAACAGAATGTGAGCTGAACTCTTTTGTTAAGAGTTAAAAATGTTTTTATAAAGCATATCTATCAACTGTTATTTGTCCATCTCAAACCAAAGATATCAAGGAGATTTTTTTTTTCAGGAAAACTCTCTTCTTCATAAAACCTCAATAACAAGAAGCCATTATCCTTCAAATGCTTAATTACCACCTATCCTGAGCTACTCATGTTCTCAATGACTTTTGTTTTTCTCTTATAGATACTTCTTCTGACCAACATGTAAAAAATCTAAAAATTAAAAGATCACAAGTTCATTTCTTTAGAAGTTAGTCACTTAGCTGTATTTGAAGATCTTGGCTTATGATCTCTTATTTTGTAAGACATAAAATTTAGCCTTTGGTTGCAGGAGAGAAATTACCAGAATTGCTTTGCCTTACTCCTTTGCGAATCAGTATTGTTAACTGTTGTTGCTGCCATTCCTACCCCTGCTATTCCCCGCACCATGAGACACCACGGGAAAAAAAAAAGAAAAAAACTGTGTGTCCTGTAGTTTGAGTAATAAGATGCTTTCTAAACTGAGGTTGGCAAATCATTCAGAGAGTACACAGAAAATTTGGGTTGAGTTGTTTTTTTAGATTCTGAACTAATGAAATAAAATGTTACCATCTGAGTCCATCTGAACTGCAGTTTCGGTATAAGAATGAAGACCAGACCAGAATATTCCCACTGATAAAAGGCACAGATGATGTAGCACTGCATCAAACATAAAAATAATGGAATGGACCTCTCATTTTCTCTTTTTTTCTTCTATTTCCTTTTTCTTTTCCTTTTCCTTTTCAAGATGCTTCCAGTTGAGTATGTTTTAACCCTTTATATCATTTTCCATTTGCTTGCTCACACTGTGGATATGCTCATAGCAGTAGCAAGTTTGGCCAAAGTGCCTGTAACGTGGTCTGTGGGGGCATGATTGATCCTTTTCCCTTCCTTGTTTGCTGTTACAGTCAGTGATAAAGGATGCTGAGTGACCCTTTTCTTCCCTCTTTCCTTCCACTGCATGGTCTGGGCAAAGTTCCTCTCTGTATGCTTGCTGGCACTACACCATACCTACCTTCTCTATTTTGGTAGTCCTTTTGTTCCATCTTTCTCTGTTTACCTCTGTCACATTTGGCCTTAATCTCTGTCCAGTCTACTCTTGAAAGAATCTTATCTGTCCCCTACAATGTAGATTCTTACATTGTAAATTTCATGACTTGGTTTGCATATTTATAATATTTACCTGAAAGCTTTAGGAACTGCATTTCTGGGACGTACTCGATTTCAGATGGTCCCTCTTCATGAGTTCCCACATGTATCTAGCAGGCAGTGGTATGCCTAGAGGAATCGCAAGACTCTTCCTGCTTTCATTCTTATTTTCTAGGAGGTATGAGTGTTACAAATAAGGTATTGCGTTTCTTATCTCTGCTCTTTTAATTATTTTCTCAGATCTTCCAGTCCAAAGCAATATCAAAGCAGACTCTGTCTGAGTCCTGGATGCTGCCTTTTGGTACTGATGAGGGTAGCTGCTGGCTACATGAGAGCACAAATGAGGGTAAATACACTACAGTACCTCTGTGCTGAGAGCACACAAGAGAACACTAAGAGTTTGATACCACCCGCCTTTCTTGGTACTACGACACAGCACCTAGCAAACCTTCTGGTGCCTCTTGATTCTTTGTTACTTCTACATTCTCTGCATTTGTCACTTCTTTCCTGAGAGCGACTTCATCACTGGAATGATTCCAGCAACCACAGTCTCCCCTTAAAGTCTCTTATGCTGCTCAAAAGCAGAAAACAAGGTATTTAAGCAGGTATACTGAGGTCCAACATGGGGAACACAAATACACACTCTTATTTTAGGCATCAGTTTAAAGAAAAAAAAAAAAGACTATGGTAATTTTTTACAAGTTTTTACATGTTACAGCTTGTTATACAATACCACTGTTGCATTAGGCCAACACTGCACAACAGAACAGCAAAGAGATTAGACATGGACAACCACTGAAAAGAGCAAGGTAGGAAGGTGGGATGCTTGCAGCTGTTCTCATAAGTATATTTTTAGGCAATACAATACTTCCTTACCTCTTCCATTCTCTAAGCTAATATATAGATGCTCAGGATGAGAGGAGCTTGAACTGACTGCCAATGTACTACCCCTATTTTTTTCATGGGTATCACACATGGAGAGAGGATGAAGGGGGAAGATAGGCATTACTTTTAAGATAATGCTAAGGTAAAACTGTCCTATTAACAATACTGGCATAATAGTATCCCTAGTGTGCAAGTAGATGAAGACCAAATTTTGAAGAACTGTGTAGCCCAATAATGCATTTTTCTTATATTGTCCAGTTCCCCTGATATCATTTCCACTGATACCAGGAGGATTTCTGCCTTTATTTTCAGCAAAAATAACTGCTATAATTGCAATGTGTATGTTTGACTTAGCTCCTGCAAATGCTTATGTTTAGGAGTAGTCTTACAGGGCTTGTGCATGAAACCAACCACCTACATGAACGCCCACAGAATATGAGATTCTGATTCTACGAGTAATTGTGCTTGAACTGAACTTTAAACACAATATTGTATAATACTGGTATAAATTATCTCCTCTCAAAATGAATATACATACTTTGTAGTTTTAAAACCTCCTGGTGAAGGAACATGAGTCTACTTCAGGCATCATTAAACCAAAATGGGAAAACTCCTATTGCTTGCACTACCATTTGAATTAAATCAAATTCTGTCTTCATTGACTTATATTGCAGTGCACAGAGTACTTAGACAAAGCTAATCTTCCACAGAGGGAAGATAAACAAAGTTCCTTTCTCATGTTTTGTTCCTGTTTATGTGTGTATGGATGCATATTAAGTTTTGGAAGAATTTTTTATTTATTAAACAGGAAATGCCTGAAGGAGTAATTTCATTATTCCTGAATTTTTTATCTTGGAATATTAACATTTTTAACAAATGCCATATATATTTTTAAGATTTTTCTGTCAACCAGATTTTGAACAATGAGAATGTTCAAAGCGAAATTATAAATGTAGTGAAATTATAAACGTAGGTAGCTAATGTCACCATATCCATGATAATATGCCCGCTCAGCTATGTAAAATGATATATTCTGCCTTTACCATATCATTTATGAAGCTTCTCAAATAAAGCATTCTACTAGTTAGGATGACTGGCAATTAATAAGCCAAACTATTTCATCTACCTATAAGATTTGCTTATGATTTTCTTTAAACGAAATTACTCAAAAGCATGGCACCTCACTGGTGATTTTTAGTTATTGATGTTAGCTTGGATTATTAGCATTCTTTAGTCTAAATCCAAGATATTTTCTTCAGGGTTATGCTGCGTACACTTTCAATCATTGTATTCTTTACAGTGAAATTGTATCTAATGATATATTGTTTAACATGACATTGCCTGCCTCTACTTTTTGTAAGTTACACTAATGAAAGACAGAAATACTCTCTTTTTGTGTCACTGGTTTGCATGCAGAGGTGTCATACGCGTGGTTTTCTGGTCTTTATGATCTTTTAAAAATACCTGTTGTCGGCTGTTTTGTTCTTATTGCTTACTACTCACAAATAGCTTTCTCAGTTTCATCCTTTTTGGTTTTTAAGAAACATCATCTAGGTATGCAGGGACTGACAATGAAAAGGAAATGAGTAGTTAGCGGCGCTGCATCGTAAAAATTATTGTTCTGTTATAACTGCAAATGGTAGCATCAAATGTGAAAACAGATGTTCAAATTCATTAGCATTTAAGGGAAATGCTTTTGGAATAATTATCAGATTCCTTGTAAGCAGCCATATTATTAAGCAGATATATCTATTAGATCTTTGATAGAGAAAACAGCAAAAAAAATGCATATTTCAAGTTTTGATTATGTTCTGTTAGTAATTTTTTAAGAAAGAATCAGAATGTGAATTAAAAAAATTAAATTACCTTACTCTTCCCAGGTCTAGTAAAAGTGAGAGCTGTTTCTTTTCCCAAAAGCCAAAGATCCCTTTATTGTCCATATATTTGTGGGGAGAATGACCAGACTCATCTCTTCTCGGTGCTCCTCTGTCCTTCCCTACGTGAAGTTCCTTCACTCTAGAAACAGAAAGCTGTGCTAAGAGTCCATACATTTCCCATAGGGCAACTCTACAAGCCCAACTCTCCAGCTTATTTGCAGCTATGAATGAATTCAAAGAGACCAGATCTGATCCACTATAAGCACTGTCTGACTGGTCCATTATAAGCACTGTCTTACACATCTCTTCTCTTTTTTTCCCTCCAAACCTGTCTAGTGTTTTCCAAAGGGACTGATGTAAGCAATCAGGGTCACAGAAGCCATGTATCAACTTCTTCAGAGCTCAAGGATTTAAAATAAGCTAAACACCAAGAAGTACTAAATCTTTTATCCCCTTTTCCCTTGAGCATTCCAGATCTTCAAAAAATAAATGAGCAAATTGCTGTTTATTGTCTTCTCAAAGATGACAATATCTGAGGAGATAAAAAATAAAAAAAAAAAAAAAAAAAAAATCCATAGCTGGCTAGACTGCTGTTGTGATAAAAGTATAATCGTTGCACATTTGCATCTATTTTGTTTAATATTTTTTCACGTGCAGGTACTTCATAGATTGGAAGAATGATGGGAACAGCTACTTTACAATAGATGCTACTGAAGGAACCATTGCTACCAATGAATTACTGGACAGAGAAAGCACAGCACAATACAATTTCTCTATAATTGCAAGTAAAGTTAGTAAGTATGGCACAAATTAATACGCGGTGGGCTTTTTTTCTGAGTTTAGTGTTTAGACAGAAAAAAGCTGTGAAAAGTGCACAAATTATAAAGAAATGTTTAAGACTGCACAATAAATAGTATTTTGGAACGATTCACTGTAAGGCAAAGTGTGATATTCCAGAAGATATGTATAGTAAGGTTTAACTAGTAGTTCTCTTGTGGGCACAGTTCCTTCAGAAACTGAAAGGTGTTTGACAGTGTGAAGGGCAAGAAATCAGAAGGTGAAATAACAGGAAAGTTTCAATGGAAACACCAAATTCACCCACCAAACCATATGTGAAATATATATAATTTGCCTATTTGACTGGTGCTAATATTTATTATGTAAGAACTGTCCTTCCAACAGTAATCCCTTCAGTTCTTATTCCATTTTATCCTTACAACAGTGGAGAGAGAGACTTTCTGTGCTACTGTATCGAAACCCTTCTTTATTTGTTTCTAATTTTGTAATTCACTTACTTTACAACTAGATTAGTCAAAGAAGAGTTCTATTTGCTTTTTGAGGATTGAAAAATGCAAACATTCCTTTCTCAGACGAAAAATTAAAATTAATTCAAGAGAACATGTTAATAATTTAAGAAAGAAATGAATCAACCTTTGTGCTTTCTCTATCCTTTTGAGTTTCCTCCTACCCAAGACTCTTTTTTCCTAACCACTTGTTTTCTTCTCCTTCTCTATAACAAGTTGCAGTTGTCTTGTTTGCTTCCTTCACACTTGTATTTTTGCCTTCTCCTACAAAGCCTTTTCCCTGATGAGAACTCCCTTCTCTGCTGTGTTACATAGCTGTAGCTTTCTACATTGCCAGCCTTCTGTGTAGCATCCATCCTTCATGATACTGTCAAACAGAAATCCTCCTAGGCTTATACTGCCTTTTGAATGAAGTTCTTTTGGTCATCAAGCATTTGTGCAAAGGTTACAGAAGTCTGTTGATATCCACTGGTGGTAGAGGAGAAGCCCTGCTGTACTCCCCATTTGTTATGGATGGTTTGTGTGTCTGGGAATGTAAGATTATAATGTAGAGAATTTATTTTCCTCAATGTATTGCATTGAGTGCTCGATAAGTAATACATTCTGCTAACAAGGAGATTTTCGAAGCAGAAAGTATATATTATTTAAAATAAGAAAGAAATTCTCAGTTGTAGCTATCTCAGAAGTAAACACAGGATAACTCCCAAGAGATTGAAAATATAATGAGGAGAAAGACAAATGAGAACGTGACTTTTAGATTTAGCTTGGAGTACAGTAAGAGAGGAAATGAAACGATCATCTCAAGTGATTGAGTATACGGGGTTACATATGCATATATGAGAAAGTCCAGGAGAAGTGTAATTGGTTTCCAGAGAAACAGAAAGGCAGTTCTGTTTCAGAACTGTTACAGTTACAGTGTGGAGATTTCATACTGGCCTTTGTTTCAGTAAAGCAAAACTATGTAGATTTATTGGTGAGTAATGAACATTTGAGATTTGTAAAATTTTCTGTGGTAAGGCAAAGGTTTTACTAAACTCTGTGTGAATATGTTCATTATTCCCAAGAGTAATTAAAGCCAGCTAAGACTCTATAGATTTACCTGTTTTGAGATATTAGTGATTTATATCTGTATACCTCAAAACTTTAATACTTCAAGCATTAACCGTGGCACTGAAAACAACTGCCATACCTGCACTGTACCTGTAATTGGCAGTGCTTTGGAGAATTTGAGATATATTAACTGTCCAAACTTCATATATAGTTGCCTGACTCAGAGCTAGTACAGAAATAAATCTTGGGTTTGAGAAATGACACACTGCACACAGCCAAAGAGGAGAGGCCATCTGAAGGAAAGGAAAACAAAACAAAACACACACACATTGAAAATGTTTTGTCTTTAAATGAAAATTACCATCTCTTTGGTGCTGATATGTGAATGCTAGAATTGCAATGTCATTTTAGAGTAACAGTCCCTTAAACATTTATTTTAGTGTGCTTCCTTGACATATTCATGATTACCCAAGAGGAGTGGCCCTACAATGCAAACAGTTGTGTAACCTTGCTGTGACAAGGAAAATATTCTTATCTAAGGATTTTCAGAGACTGAACTTATCTCTTTCAGAGAAACAAACTCAAAGCTAGTAACAGGCATATTAAATTCAGTAACTTAAAACTATATTGCTAAAATACTTATTTTACTTTCTCAAGTCATTATTTGAAAAGCACTATTTTAGACAGCTAAAGGCCATTTTGAAAATAATCTTTCTTTTTTTTTTTTTTTCCAAAAAAGGAGGATTACATCAGCTTTATCTATAATAAGAAATTATAATGACATTGCCATTATTAACCTGTCTATGGAAAATGACGGCATGGTCATGAATAAGTTTGGGTAGACCAGCTGCCTTCTGCCTTAGCCCTAAGGCTTTCTAGTCATTGTTCCCTGCAGTTCATATGTTGCTTCATAAGAAAACCCTGCACAAATCAAAGGTGACACTTATGTTACAATTCTTCTCAAAGCAAATATTTCTGTCTTGTAGTGTTACGATTTCTAAGCAATCAAACTGCCTTCCAAACAATGGCACAAGTACCATGCAGTTTAGGTAGCTGAGTATAACAGCAGGGAGTAGATAAATATAAATGTAGCATTTAGACTTTCAGACTATTTAGACATGTTTATTGGTCTGACTTTTATTAACACCAAAGCCCCAGACGTTATCATTTCTCAAGGGAAAACATTTGTAGAATGAAGTAGAAAGGAATTGCCTTATGCTTATTGAAGTAAAATTTGTTAGTATCACACATTGGAGGAAAAAAAAAACAGTTTGAAAACCCAGATGTTTGGAAATAGCTGTTTTAAAAACTTTTATGTCCAGCATCCGCATTCTGCATTTATTTGATAGACATACTAAGATAAGTATTCCCCGAACTCCAGACCATGCACCTTCATCCCTATGTGCACCAGAGATTATATGATGCAGCCTGGGAACTTAAATAGAGGTAGAACTTGGAGCATTAGCAAAGACTTAACTGAGAAATATGCTTGCTGTAGGCCTGCCTCTGTCAATTTGTGGTAGGCCTGGTTATGCAGGAATAAAAGAATATATGATATATATAGACAGTAGTAACTGGTTGCACTGTAGAGAGCTGGGCTATGAGATGTTGTTCTATCACTGCTATGTAATGACCAAATCTGATTCTAAACCATAATTACATGCTTTTTACTTCTAATCCTGAAGGAGTGAATAAATCTAATTTAAACATAAACTGGGAATTAACCTCTAAACTGCAGCCAGCTCTTGAAAACATCTCAGGATTTAGCTGGTGTGCAGTGATAGACATCCTCCTACTGCCATGCCTAACACAGCAGCACACCACAACTTGGTTGTTTAAAAAAAAAAAAAAATAGAAAAACTCAAGGTAGAGCAGGTGGTGGATGACTGTGCTACTTAGACCGGTGGGAGATGGGTGACTGCGCAGATAGCAGGCAGGTAACATCATAAAAACACAGGCGTCAGAAAGGTTCCTTACACCTCCATTGAAGTAGCAGGATAGTAAATAAGAAGTCAGTTGTCACACAGGTTTTCCAGACTCTGAAATTAACTCTTAGAGTTAGTTTCTTCTCGGAGTAAATCAACTGCCTAGTAGCCTACATAGTTGGTCAATCTAGTTATCTTTGACCTTAGTGACTCTGTCCATTACTAGTAAATTAAATATGCTTAGGGTCTGTCTCAAGCATTGAGGCTGTCTGGCATTGAAAGGCCTATTTCTGTACTCTTACATTCTCTTGCCTTCAAGAGAGGGTGGTCACAAGTAAATCATTTCTTTGGTACAAACTAAAGCTAATACCAATGGGGTAATGTAATAAATAACTGGTATATACTGATATAAATAATCACATTCCAGTGCTCAAAAAGTTCCCAACTGATACTTAATTACCTAGTACAGAAATAGCTTTTGAGCCTTAAACAGTAGAAACTACATAAAATACATAAGCTCTTATTTCTGCTTTCCTCTCCTCAAGGGACTAATTAAGAATAAAATTAAACATCAAGAAATAATCCTTCTACCTCCTTTAGTTCTAGGCCCAAATTTTATGAATGCTGAAGAAACTTGAGCTGAAAGCTCAAGATGGAGATTATTTTCTCCTGCATAACTTATGTGGCATTTATGAATCACCAGTTCTCTGTATTAGGTGTAACTAGCTGTCCACATCTGCTTTCTCATGTGTCTTGAACTTCACACACTTCCATAGGTTATCTAGAATGCTTTATATATATATTTCTGTTACTGTAGTATCCATGACTAAAGTGATGTTAATGGTTGCCATTATCTAACATACAGGGAATTTGAGGAAAAGAGAAGCTAAGTTATTTGCTTTTATCACACAGAAAAAATTGAAAACTGAAACCTAGGTCTTAATTCCTAGGCTAATGATTTAACTACTTGTCTTCTATTTTGTGTAATCTGGATTTAAAAAGCATGAACAGATGTTTTCAGTGACACACTCATTGATACCAGTATGCACATCACTGCAGAGCTGGTAAGGCTCAGATAGACTTGACTTACAGAAAAATGACAAACAAAACAGAGAAAATACAGGTCAAATTTGCAAAGTGGTATCTGACATGTAATTTTTCACCCTTGTTCACATCAGATGTCACAAGTCTTTGTAACTGTGTATGGATTCAAAGCAATACACAATATTGATACGGTCTTCCTTGTGGATATGAATAATAATATTGGCATTACTATGGACTAAACTAATTTTCCTTCTATGGAAAGGAAATTGATCACATAATAAATTGGAACCCAGAAGATGTTCCATTTTACACTGTGGTAATTCTGTTTACTTTAATGTTTATTTTTTCCTGACCATTTATTCAAGGTAAAATTTTACCTTGTGAAAACAGTTAACAGAAAAAAAATTTGATCTCTTTCTTTCAAGGAATCACGGGAAGTAAAGCTGGTCATCCATGAAAAATAAGTGTTAAAGTTATACCCATAAGCTTTTAGTGAATCTAGTGTTCATCCTGAACATTCAGTGTTGTGCCTTAAAATGAATACATAAAGAATCAAGGAAAAAACAAGTTAATATGTGTGTCAGTTGCCGTTCTCTTTCCAAAGAGCACTGCTAGCAGGTTAGTTGCAAGTTAGACTCTGTTTCTGACAGTAATTGTGAGAATTTCACCTACTATTGGTTCATCTGACCTCTCTATTCAGAAATAGGGTACTGTCCTGTCTTGTAGTCACCAGAATAACCTCATAGTATTTTCTTCCTTCCCGTTAGTCCAAAGCCAGCTATTTAAGAAAGTTATCTAGACTTCTTTTCACCTAAAGAAACGTTGCCAGAATTACTATTATGCCAAGTGCTGGCCTTGTTCATACTATGTCTCTTGAAAAAAAAAAAAAAAAAAAAAAAGTATTTTTCTGTTCTTAGGAAAAAAATAAATTTTGCAAAATTTCTACCCTACTATCATGAAATTCTGTGCATACTGAGTTGTAATACACTTTTGGCCTGGAAAGCAACCTTTCTCCCCTGCCATGTCTGTTAAAACAGTACAAGAGTTTATTCAAATTTCAAAGTAAGTAGCTAATGCAAAGAATTAAGTATGTGTAAAAGGTTTAATCTATGTCTGAAGCCACAAGAAAGCTCTTAATTATTACCAAATTCTATCATGTGTGCTTGCCACATTTCATAGGGGAGAATTCTTGAACAACTAATGGCAACTGAATTTCATCTGCCACTCTCTTAAACTGAAAGAGATAAATTATCCTCTTGACTAATCATCTAAACTGTTTCATGTACTTACTACCATGTAAAATGGCATACTGCAAGAGTTCTCTGCTTTGTCTCCTTTTTGCCAGCCAGGTAATCTTGTTTATAAAATGCTTCTAGTGAGTAAAATGTCAGCTTAGTAAATGATGGAGAGTATCTAGAATGGAAATAAGGATAGTGTATAGTATTTTTTAACATTTCTTTTCACATAAATATTTGCTGCTCACCCAGTTAAATGAGTATTTGCTATAACATAGCCTGATGGTCTAATAATGAGTAGAATGCCAGCATATATTTTTCACTGCTAAATTGCCACTGACTCACCCTATATTTTAGCAATGCTTGAACCATTCCTTCTCTGTTACTTTCCTTATTACAAAATGGGTATGCTCCACCTACCTCCTTAATTATCTTCTTGAAATAGTAAATAGGCAATAAGTAATAAATATTGATTTTCTGTGTTCCATAGTGGAACACAGAAATCCATTTCAATCACTGGCATTGCCTTCCATATACTCCATTAAAAGTGATCTGAGAAAAGTTTGCACCTATAATTATAAGTGCATCTGCAGCTTCTACAAATTATGATCTGTTAAACACAATCATGTTGATTGATCCCTTATTCCAGTAATGGAACAAGTCTGGTATGAAATGATAAGTTTGCCTCTGGTTTCCTCCTTTGTACAAATCAGAAATAAACTGAAGTCAAGGGCTTTTAGAAGTCACAGTGCCAGGATCAAAAGATTTTATGACAGGTTATGGGCACTGTTGATGACAACAAACATAAATAGTATTGTTTAATGATTTTCTCCTAAAAATCATTTATAGGTAACCCACTATTAACCAGCAAAGTCAACGTTATAATAAATGTCCTGGATGTCAATGAGTTTCCTCCTGAAATTTCCGTACCCTATGAGACCTCTGTATGTGAAAACGCCAAACCGGGACAGGTATTTCAAATCTGTAATGTTTGCTATTTTGCTTTTTATTTTCTTATTATTTACAGAAATAGACATTTCTTGGTTTGAAAAAATGATACTATGTATAGAATACTTTTAAAAAAATGCCTGTATGCCTGTGTTTGTTAGAAATACCTTTAGGAATTCTGGTTGTTGACCTTTATAGTCTGTTTATTTTTATTCTCCCGGAATATATGGGCCAGAGCCACCTTATTATGTGCAGGGAATAGCCTTAATAAGAGAATCCTTGCTTTGTAGAGCTTTAAATTCAAGGAAAAAACCCGCAGTCAAGTGAGTAAATAGAGTAGAATGCACTTAACTTGCATCTCCACATCCTATCCTGAACAAAAACTCCAAAACAAGCAAAAAACACATCAGCTAAAATCTTGTTTTTATAAGCATATACCTAACATGAGAAGTCTCTTCTGGACACAGAATATCATCTTACATCATGATAGAGACTACTGTCAATAGAGAGCTCACAGCATCACAGCGTCACAGAACTATTGAGGTTGGATGGGACCTCTAGAGATCATCTAGACAAACCCCCTGCTCCAACAGGGACACCTACAGCATGTGGCATGGGGTGGCATCTGGGCAGGTATGGAAGATCTCTAGAGAAGGAGACTCCACAGCCTCCCTGGGCAGCCTGTGCCAGGGCTCTGTCACCCTCACAGTGAAGAAGTTCTTCCTCACATGGAGATGGAACTTCCTGTTACCCAGTAGTTTCCTACTAGCTAGTAATTACCAGTTTGTTAATAGTAGATAAGGGAGTCTTTTATTACAGGAGATGCTAAGGTAGCTACTGAAGTATCAACAATTATAAATATTTAGACCTTCATTACATAGAAAGTTTTCTCCCTTTTTAAAATTCAGTGGAAATCCCTACCATAAAATGCTTTGTGTACTGTGTTTACCTGAAATACAGTAGATATGACTTGGATTCAGAAGTTCTTGTTCCACTATTTTTCATGGCTAGATGGTTCAATTCTCTTCATTTTGGACTGTAACACTAGGGTGTACTTTTGTGAAGTATTGCAGCATGTAATAGCAGCAGCAGCAGCAGCAGCAGTAGTAGTAGTAGTAGTATCGAATAAACAGAGCTGTCTTTAAATAATCTGTCAGTCTTGCAAACAGTCTCAAGCATTAGATACAAAAGACAAATATTGAATATTTCTGCAGCGAAGTATATGGCATTTTTTTTCTAATCTCCTTCAGATATGTCAGAGTGAGACCTTGTGGGTTATCACTCCTGGAGACTGTAGCACTCAAGACTCACTGCTTCTGCTTCCCAGTACATTACAGGAAGGAGAATAATCCATCAGGATGATCACTGTTATTGTTTCTTTTTAGGTTCACTTTTCACTTCTACAAAATTGTTCTTTTAGAAGAATGAACTGATTTCAAATTTAATTTTAATCTGATTTCAGGTAATACAGACTATCACTGCAGTGGACAAAGATTTGTCACCAGCTGGACAAAGGTTTTCCTTCAGACTGTCACCTGAGGCATCCAACAAACCCAATTTCACAGTGCATGACTACAGAAGTAAGTTGTTTTCCCATATCTTTCTTTCAGAACAGCAGACTGGAGTTATCATGACAATTATGATCACTTCATATTACAATTGTGCCGACCAATGAAAAGCTTATGTGAAATATTTTTCAAACACAAAGATTTCATTTTTTTTTAAGATTTTATGGTATTGTCAGAATCTATCCAAACAGAAAATCAGTAGTGCATTTTCGTTATCTTCTGCTCCATCTGTTTGGTTCCTCTCAAAGGAGAAAGAGAAGTAGTTTGATTACATTGTACTAGGTATGAAAGTGATATTTATCATTATAATTGGCAGAATATTTATAGAAATAATGGGAAATTGAAGCTGGATGATCTCAAAATTAGATATAAAATTTTTAATATACTGTGGATGCTTAATCATAGAGACAAAAGGCAAACTGAAGATGGAAGTCGATTCAATGCGAACTGTGAAATATTCTTAGTATCAAAATCAAATAGAAAAGAATAATTTATTTTCAAAACCAAATATCACTGAATTTAAGACGTCCTGCAATATTTGAATTTTCCTTGCTACTCATTTGCTACTGCTTGCTAATCTTGACTGAGTCAATAAAAAAAAGGGTGGGGAAATAAGTACCAGGAAGAAATGGAAAAACATAACTTCTGGGAGCTCTGAACACATTCATGACTAATTAGTGGGAAATATACTGACTGCAAATTAATTGGTTCATTTCTATACTTTGTATGGATGAGAAAGTTTTTGTATTACATTCAGATGCCTTTTAGTTTTAAAAGGAAATTAATTCAGTAATAGATGCAGTCCTAAATACACTTGCAATCAAAGTCTTTTGAACCATGATCTTAGATTATAACAAGATCTTAATGAGAAAGGAAAAACTAAAAATCCTTCCTAATCTAGTGCCTGTAATGCATTTATTTTTAGTTATGTCCTCTTTGAAATGTTAGCTGTTGAGATTAGCAAGATTTATTCACGAGAAATAGAAGATTATTAGATGTTCTGGAAAAAGCAGATTTCTTTGCTATCCTGCTCAGAATACAGCAGTTTCTGTAATGATAAAACAAAGTAATTACAGAGACTATGTAATCCACTAAGTTTCAAAGATGGAATAATTTCCTGCTATTTAAGGTGATATAAGAAACACATACTGAGGCATTTAGGGACACGGTTTAGTGGGCATGGTGGTAATGGGTTTACGGTTGGACCTGATGATATTGAAGGTCTTTTCCAACCATAGTGATTCTGTGATTCTGTGAAACAGAATATGAACAGAAGTACACCATAGTAAAGAAATCTGTCATGACTATGCCCTATTTTACAGACAATACAGCTGGGATCGAAACCAGGAGACAGGGTTACAGCAGAAGGCAACAAGAGCTGCATCTTCTTCCAGTGGTGATAGAAGACAGTAGTTACCCTGTGCAGAGCAGCACAAACACGATGACTATCCGGGTGTGCAGATGTGATGCTGACGGCAGCATCCTGTCGTGCAACGTGGAAGCAATCTTCTTACCAGTAGGGCTGAGCACAGGAGCGCTCATCGCCATCCTGCTGTGCATTGTGATACTGCTAGGTTAGTGCTCGTGGCATCGTGTTTAGCACAAAACTCTAACTCACTTCTGGCTTAGCTCATGTTGTCATTAGTTTCCTTTTTGGCTTACAAATTTTTACTTAAAATACTTGGCTGTTTGTGGGAAATTTTATGCTGCATCTTCCTAGAAAAATGCCCCAATAATGAATAACTGTAACTAATAACGAATGTGAATTTAGTGACTTTATATATTTCTTATTGCATAGAGTGAACTAGCTTCCAGTCGAGTCTGAAACACATTATTTCTTTTTGTGAAACAATTTTGGTTATATAACATTTCTGAAGAATTGATATCCATATACTTAAAATTACTAAGATGGACAGGTCCTGCTGACAGCGGCAGCAGCAAAAGGCTTAGCGAGGGAATTTATTTAATTCTTAATAGCAACTTGAGAGCGATTAAGAAAAAAGAACAATGAAATGAGAGAGGAGAATATAGTTGTAGTGCATGCAGACTTTGACTGGATAGACTGTTGTAAAACTTAAGAAGAGCATTTTCATTTCAGGCAAGCATGAATTTCATAATGTGACATTGTTATCTGGATATACATTATATTTAAATCTTCTCTTAATTTCAGCATACCAAGGTTAATCAATACTCATGAACCTATAATGTATAATATTATACATTATACATTAAATAATAATCTCATGTACATTATATATGAACTCATAAACATACTGATAAACATATTATCATCATATTCTCATATTATATGAACTGATAAACAATACAGCTATTTTGTAGTTTACATAGTTTACACACTGTGGTGTGTGTAATGCCAGCTGAGACTTACCTTGTCTTGATAATATTAGACTTGTTAGACCTCAGATCTGTCTGGGCAGGCAAAAAGAGCTGTGGGCTATGAAAGATCTTGTATGAATACCTCTTTGTGATTGATTAAATACAGTAATTTCCCACCAGAATAAATTACTGTAGGCTCTCAGATTCATAAGGAACTTCTGAGTAGCAGAATTAAAACTCAGAATTTCTGTGTAAAAGGTATATATTGTAAAAAAAAGTTGTTTCAAATCAAAATGGAACTACAAATATACATACTTCTCATGGAGCTCAAATTAATAATAAATACAGCCATTAAGCTTTTCTAAAATAAAAAGTAACACGAATTGTTGTCACATCTACCACAATTCCCCAGAGCTACCTTTTCACTTTTAGGGGGTATCTGAGTAAAAGAAGCTCACAGTGAATCTCGCTGCCTAATTCCGTTATGAAGCAACGCATCTTAGCTCATTGTCACAAGAACAGATAGAAACACACTCATCTAGGCCTCTGACTTAAGACAAGATTTTCAGGATATCTAAGCTCTCTGTTGCAGAGCAAAGTGCCTAGAATCCTCAAACACATGGCTGTAGCAAAGTTACCACCCTTGTGTGCAGTAACTGGACTGGACTATGTGAACTAAGCAGCAGAGAGCCTGGCACTCTTACTCCAATCATCATTATTCTGGCAGAGTTCCTGGGGAAACAGAAATATTAGAAGCCTGAATTTTCCTGAAATATGCTGGGTGATTTGCACGGCTTTAGAAAAACTGTTTCTCTTTCCCTAATACAAATAACAAATTATACTTTATTTCAATAAACAGCAATAATTCAAACAAAAATAATTATGTGAAAGAATTCCTTATCAGCTCTGCTGCTGATTGATGCATACATCATACTAAAGGAGAAATTTTCATTTCTTGCTAAACTGAACTGAATTAGTCAGACTGAGTTCGTAAGAGAGTGTTGGTCCTTTAATAATTCTGTTCATTCTAATCAACCTGGTAAAATTACCTAGAAAAACTAACTTATATTTAATGAGATCTCCAGTGCTATGTGTAACCCAAAAGAATGATATTTATTTTATATGCAATTTCTTCTGCTTACTATTGCATTGATAATCTTGCTGTGGACTTAGTATGATACAGAATCTTTAAAGCTTGAAGCTATTCCTACAAAAAGATAGACTCAACATATAACAACTATCAGAAGTTATTCTAAAATACACAAGCCAGACCATAAATTTATAATCACTGGAAAACTTTATTCATTATTGGGTTACCTATCCACAGCACCCAGAATATTACTATTTCTACCAAGTCAGAGAATTTAATGTATCAAAACGCAACTTCATTGGTTTTGCAGAAAGATGTTGCCTTCCGTGAAAGATAGCTTCAAACCTGGGAAACCTTTTCAGTTGTCATTCCAAATAAAACTGTCTTTAATAGTTTGTATTAGACATAATAATACAATTCCAAAACATCTGAGTTTGGAAGTGATCTCTGGAGTTTGTCTAGTCCAAACGTCCACAGTAAAAGCAGGTTGCCCAAGACATCGCGTAGTCAAGTTTTGAGTTATCACCAGTTTTGAGTTATCACAAGTTTTGAGACACCCTCTGGGCAACCTGATCTAGTGCATTGTGTCACCCTTGAAGTAAAAGTGTTTTTATGTATGAATGGAATTCCCTATGTTTTGATTTATGCTCATTGCCTTGAAAGAGTATCACCCTAACAAGTGATACTCTTGTAAAAGAGTATACACACTAACAAGCTCTTAATCATTTTATTAACCCTTTGTTAAACTCATGCCATTATGTCCATATCTCTCCTGTACTGGGGAACCCAGCACTGGACACACCACTCCAGATATGGCCTCATGAAAGCTGAGCAGAAATAAAAGATCACTTTCCTTGACCTGCTAACAATGATTTTCCTAATGCAGCACAGAATTGTTGATGCATTAGCAATTCTGTTGGTTCAGAAGGATTGCTCAGGTCTTCTGCAAAGCTGATCTCCAGCCACTTGACACCTAGCCTGAGCTGCTGTATGGGGTTATTCTTCCCCTCAAAGATGTGGCATTTCACTTTTTTGAACTTCATGAGGTTCCTATTAGCCCTTTTCTCCAGCCTGCCATTGTCTGTGTGAATGACAACACAACCACCAGGTGTAGCAGTCATTTCTTGGAGGTTTCTATCACCCGGAAACTTCCTGAGGGTACACTTTGTCCTCTCATCAGATGAATGAATGAGTGTTAAATGAAGCTGTTGAACAGTATTGGCCCCATTATCAAAGTGGTAGTAGTACCCCTAGAGGATACCACTATTGATTTTTCTCCAGTGGACTCCATGCTGCTGATTACAACCCTTTGAGTTTTGGCAGTTTCATCATTTTTTTTCAATTTACCTCAGTGTCCACTTGTCTAGTGAGCAGTTCCTCAATTTGTCAGTGAGGATGTTATTAGATTCAGTGCCAAAAGTCTTGCTAAATTCAAGATAAATAGCAGCCACTGTTCTCCCCTCATCCATCAAGCCAGCTACTTCACTGGGTTCCAAGGCTATTGGATTGGTTAAGAATGAATTTGAATTTATATATCCATGTTGACTACCTACTATACCATTTGTGTCCTTCATATGTCTGGAAATGGTTTCCAAGATTAGCTGCACCCTCACCTTCCTGGGGGTCAAGGTAAGGCTGACAAGCCTGAAGTTACCCATATCTTTTCTCTTGCCATTCTTCAAGATAAGAGGGATGACATTTGTTCTCCAGTCCTCAAGCACCTCTCCTGACTGCCATGACTTTTCAAAGATCATCACAACTGTCCTTGCAAAGACATCAGCCACCTCCGTCAGCACCCATGAGTGCATTACCTCTGAACACACAGACTTGTGCATTTCCTTTATTATTATTATTATTATTATTATTATTATTATTTTTGTAATGCTCCTGATCCTTGCTCACTAAAGAAGATCCTTGCTCACTTCTTTCTGGGAAGACTTTCCCACTGGTCCCCTGGACTTGGGATTCCTGAAGGCTAGTCTTACTGGTAAAGACGTGAGCAAAGAAAGCATTTGGTACCTCTGCCTTCTCAGTGCCCTTTGTCATCCAGGTCCACTGCCCCATTCAGCAGTGGACCCATTTTTTTCCCTATTCTTCCTTTTTCTGATGATATACCTGTGTTCCTCTCTGTCTCTGCTTTAACTTCTTGTATGTTTCCCTTTTATATTTGAATTTAGTCCAGATTTCCTTGTTCATCCATACAGTTCGCCTGGTGCTTCTGCTTAATTTTCTGTTCATCGGGATGGGCCATTCTTGAACTTGAAAGATGTTCTCCTTGAAAATCAATCAGCACTTCTGGACCCCTCTTCTCTGCAGGATAGTCTTCCACATGACTCTTCCAAGCAGATTCTGAAAGGGCTAAAATCTGCTCTAGAAAAAAAACCTGTAGGCAGGATTGTTTTTTTCTCTGAGAGACAATTTCAGTTTCTAAATTATATTTTTCTCCTCAGAACTGTTTTGTGGGAATTAGGTTTGTTTTTTTCTCTGCTCTGCTACAAGAAAGTCTTTAAAAAAATCACACCTCTCAGTCTGAACTAAAAACCTGAAGTTCTGTCCAACATGTTTTCTCATAAAGTAAGCTAGTAGGAAGATTTTCTTTTTTACTTCTTTTACTTCTTTCAATAGCCCAACCAGCAGTAAGGCAAGTTAGACTCATACATCAAATAGCACATATCTTTTCATTGGCTAGAGTGCTGTTACTAAAAAAAAAAAATCTTCTAAAGAAAAAAAAAAGCCTTTGATTGTTTTCAACTTTCAAAGGAGGATATAATAATATGTCATGAGTAACAAATTATTTCTGTGCATGTCTTAACTTAACTTTTCTCTCATTGCAGTCATTGTGGTACTGTATGTAGCACTCCGAAGACAGAAGAAAAAGGATACCCTGATGACCTCTAAAGAAGATATCAGAGATAATGTTATCCATTATGATGATGAGGGAGGTGGAGAAGAGGACACCCAGGCTTTCGACATAGGTGCCCTGAGGAATCCTAAAGTGATTGAAGATAACAAAATACGCAGAGACATAAAACCAGATACCTTGCACTTTCCACGGCAGAGACAACCAGCAGAAGATAATACAGACATAAGAGATTTCATTAATCAAAGGCTGCACGAAAATGATGTGGATCCCACTGCACCCCCTTATGACTCCTTGGCAACATATGCATATGAAGGAAATGGATCTGTTGCAGAATCTCTCAGCTCTATAGATTCGCTTACTACAGAGGCAGACGAGGATTATGACTATCTGAGTGACTGGGGACCTCGCTTTAAGATTTTGGCAGACATGTTTGGAGAAGAAGAAAGTTACAACCCTGACAAAGTCACTTAAGAAAAAAGACAAAGATGAAATAAAAAAAAACAAACAAGTAAACCAACAACAAATTAAAAAGATAAACCTAAGCTTTATATTGGGACAAGATTCATTTGATTATAAAAGACAGCAATGTTTCCAACAATGTACTACATTTATCATACTGTCGGTTTCATCTGCAAAGGAAAGATAAATCCTGTAATATACACAGGTTTTTGTTGTTGTTGCTTTTGTTACTTTGGAATTACACTGAGACAAGCTCAGGCCAACTAGGTACAGTTTACTGACATGACTTAGAAAGAAGATAGCTTTCTGGCATCACAGTGGAAGAGTGGTAGCTTTTTCGTAATTCCACTAAAGTGCCTATTGAAACTTTTATCATTTAAGTGGTAAAGAGTCTGCTGTGATGGTGTAACAAGACTGAATGGCGAATAGGACATAAAAGACAAGAAGCAATAGCAACATGCTGACTTCTAATCATTTTAGAACAAAAATGAAGATAACTTCCTGGAGTATGTCTAATGATGACAACTAAGGCAGGGGGAGGTGTGTGCTCTGTGGTTTGGGGTTATTTTTTTCTTAAACGTAAAACCAGTATGTCAAGATAACATATTTCTTCTTTCAAATTTCACTGAAAATTTAAACTGCTATTGCTCACTTTGAAGATGTAAAGACCAAATTAAAAAAGGAAAAGATCTAAGCATACGTCAATGAATATTTAAAATGTTCATCAAAACATTGCATCTTTTTCAGAATAATAAAAAGACAAAAGCAGCTATTTCTTTACATGAAGGAAATTTTGTTTGGCTCCCTCTCTTCATTTAAAATGAGACTATTATTAGAACATAAAATGGAGAGGGTTTTTTAAGGGTATTATTGTATTTTTAGCACAAATTCATTTTGTTCCCTGTAAGTATCACTAAAATAATGTAAAGAACACTTCATCACTTTTCTTTGCAATCATATTGTTACTCTGTAGTTACTCTAGACATACATATTGTAGAGATAGTTATGTCAGTCTGTATGACTGATCATTTGCTACAGTGCAGCATATCATTGTACTTTGGTGCCAGACCCACATCAAACATTTCAAAGAGCATTCTGAGGATGGAAACTATGTCAATTTGTTTTGCCAAAAACATTCACAGAGGCAAAATAAAAATATGGAACAGTATATTTGTCCACACTTCCTGTACCTATCCATCCATAAATGTAGAATTGCAAGGCACAGATAGGCACAGGGTATTATGCCAAGGGAGACTTGCAAAACTATTTTATTTCTGATGATTTAAAGTATTTCATAAAATGATGGTTTACGGCCCATGACATGTATATATCTGTATACTGTCCTTTTGAAATGGCTGCATTGCTATACAACCTGCTTGAGCTGTACTTACATTTAATGGTACAGGCAAGGTCAGCCTGAGTCTTTCATGAATCAGAAGTCTTTTATTCACCTCAGGTCTACAGCTTATCTTTTGTAACACTGAAAAATTAGTAACTACCAGGCATAATTAACAGCCCTAATAATTAACATATGCCATGTTTCCTGTACTGATTTATGAACATATAAAAATATTTCAAAGTATAATGACACTCCTAAAAAGCTTTTAGAAAGGTATAAGATTTGGTCTGTTCAGTACGGTTGGGTAAAGATATATAGTATAACACTGATGGAATAAATGCCTCTGTGCTCCAGCAGAGCACAGAAGAATAATCACAGCAAATGCTAAAAAGAAGAGGTCTTTTTTGTCTGTTTGTTTGTTTGTTTGTTCTTTTATCGGAAAAGGAACCCTGTGTGCCCTGAATAATGAACCAAAACCTCTCTTCTCAGAGCACTGGGAAGCAGGAATTGGTAGGATCAGTTAGCATGCCAGCATAGCAATTTTGGTGTGAAGGGGGATATTTTATTTTCATATAGTGTGGTGACATGGCAAATACAAATTTTTACTGCAAAGTGGGCCTAAGAAGAAGGCTTTCTAGAAAAGCAGGTGTTTGCTACCAGTTAGAATGCATTTTGATTCATGCAAAATTGACTCTTGTGGCAGTACCTACCAATGCTTCATCATGTGGTGAGGAAGAATTCAATTTCTCCCCTGCTACCAAGGTTAAAATGAACGTCTTATACTGCTCAATCACAGAGCAGTTTGTGGCCAAGTTCTGCTCTTAGTAACTCTTAAGCATATTTTTCTCTTGCAAAATCAGCATACCTAAGAGCAAAAATTGACTTTCTGACATCATGTGGCATACTTGCTCCTGAGGACGTTAGGGTGCTAGCACTCTAGCATTTACTCTGAGCAAGACAAGCTTTAGAGGTTCCTGACTTCCAAAATGGGAAGACGTGAAATGTGGTATGAAATGTGTTATTATACACTATCCATATTTACCAGTGAGTTGTTGTATGCTAAATGAATACCAAATTGATGATCAAATGCGTATTTTTGACATTTAAGAGGTTTGGAATTAAGATGTTTCTATCACATAATTAATAAACCTCCAGGATGATTTCAAAAAAAAAGTAATTAATTGGTATGGAATTACTGCTGTAATTGTTCCATAAAATCTTAATTAAAATCTTTTATTTAATACTCTTTTTTTAAAGAGTGATCAAACAATTTTAACTTAACAGGATGTTTTTGTAAACAGTTCTTTAGAACTACAGGAAAGGATCCTTTTTTCATTTATACATCATCTGGATCAGGATATTTGTGTTTCATTCCATACATATGGAATGACATTCCATATCATTCTTTCTAACAGTTGCTGATCAGATTTTTAAAACTTTATTTTTCAAAAACTGATTAGATGTGATGTTTGCCAGATTTAAATATGTCAAAGCTTACAAGACAATTTGAAGTGAATGGGATTAAGATACCTCAGTGCATTGACAAATTTTATCAGATACATACTTGCACTGCTAAATTCTACACCTTTTAAAAAACTCTACAAACTCTTGCATAATCTGGATCTCCTGGAAGTGAAAGTCCCTCTTTTTCTCAATTTGAGAAGGAAACTCACATTATCAGAGTGTCAGGGAAATGCATAGGAAATGCTGAAAGGCACAGAAATGAAGATAAAACTGAGAAAAATAATTTGGTTTAAATTTCCTAATGTAAGATTTTGTGGCACAAACATCCATAAATCTATTATCTTAAATGTCTCAACAGTATCTCCCCCAAATCATAAGACGTTCTGTAAAATACTTTCTGCACATGAAGGTATTGAGATACTTTATGTTTTAATTTAACTGGTTATGATGTCACTAGTGACAATGAAGTAAAAGTTTAAATGTAAAAAAATAGATAAAAACAAACTTGCAAGGAAATCTTGCTGGTAAGTTTACATGATGGATATACACAACAGAAGATAAGTTTATGTCAGAATCATTTATGGAAATTTCAGGGAAGAAGGAAAAGACCTTTTCTGCATTCCTGAGAAGCAGCTTTTTATGTCTTTACAAGAAAAAAAAAATGTATATATATATATAGTCGGGTATTTTCTCTCTGAAATCAAAACATAAAAAATTGCTAAAATATGGATTAAAGCTGTTACCTCACAAATCAGAAAATGATGCTATTCTTAAATTACATTTCACAAAGACCTGACTGAATATAATGACTTTACAAATTTGCTCTAAATTTTCCTGTTTGAGACAAAACAGTTACTGAGCGCTGTGTTCATAACTCTGAGTTATGAAAATAGAGTTCATTATAGAGAAAAGAGCAGAACAGACTACTAACAGTGTTATTATTCTAGTTACTGCCGTAAAATGGAAATGCCTTGAAAAATTCATGGAATAAATATAAAATGGCCTTACTCAGATAAATACAACTGATCTTTCACACAAGTGAAAGGTATAGTTCTGTAGATGTTATATTGTTTTATATTTAATTACATTACCATTATAAAGTTCTAAAGGCTATTGCTGAAAACATATAATGAAACATTCCTAACAATAACTCTATTGAGGTGATATTTAAGTATGAATAAAAGTCAAACTTTCTATTAACGCCCTCCCCAACCCTATATTTAAGACAATCAATTAATAACATTTTTTCTCTTTTTATTCAAATCAAGAACAAGATAAATTTTCACATTAGAAGGAATCAGTTACAATTTTGAAGAAAATTATAAATTCTTGGGTTTTTTTTCAGTTGTTACTTCATTTATAAAATTTCTATATGTAAATTTAATTTGCAATGAAATCTCCCCCAGATTTTTTTTTAATTTTACTTTGATCACCATAACACCGGTCAAAACTATTTCTGTCTTAAATGCGAAGACAATATAATAGTTCTATAAAAAAATGTAAATATACTCTAAGGGAGTGAAGAAATGTTTATAATGTCTCTGTCTGTCTTACTGAATATACATATTTATATACCCAAAATAATCCCTGCCTGAGTGGTTCTGGTCCAGTGAGTGGCAATGGTGGAGAAATTTACCTTCTCTAAGACTGCATATAATGAAGCAATATCCTGTAATGTCACTGATTTACACAGTTTCGGGGTTTTTCTTCTTTTGTTTTTTTTTTTTTTTGTTTTTTTGTTTTTTTGGTGGTGATGGTGATGGGTTGGTAGGGACACTAATAGTAATGATCTTGAGCATACAAGAAGGCAGTGAAAATTTAGTATGTTCTGATGAGCTGTAATATGATCAGATTATAGACTAAGATTATGGAGTGCTTTCATTTGTCCATATTGAATTCCATCAGGTAGTTGTTTTCTTTTCAGATAAAACCAAAGTGTAAGAGGAAGGTTGTCAGGAAAAGAAAAAGCATTTCTTCTTGTTTATGTTCAAGGATAATGAGCCTTAGTATGAGCTCTACTGTTCAGAGTTTTTGGGATTGTTTTAAACGTAATTTTAAAGTAAATTAAACTGTGGGAAGACAATAAAATGGAAGGATTATATAAAAGTTCATTAAAAGAATATGCAAGTGAGGAGTCCTGCTTTATGGCTATTGGATTATTAATGTGTAAGCTTTTAGCAAAAGCATTACTGCCTTCATAGTCTGCAAAAACACTAAAGGA